TGGCCGCCGTCGCCGCGCCGGGCACGCTGGGCAACTCCGAGCGAAGCTCCATGTCAGGACCTGGCATAGAAGACAGTGGGGAGGGGGAGAGACTTGGGGTGAGGTGGGCACGGTGCGCGAAGCTAAAGCGCACCCTGGAGAAACCCAAGCTGAGGGAGGGAAATTTCGGAGCCAGAAGTTTGGCTCCTGGATGTCAACTTGCTGGGAGGAGGTGCCTTTGGAGCCCCCTTGTAAGGCCGAGCTCCCCCCACCCCACTCCTTCCAGAGCTCTTCTTATATCTGATTCGTGGGCTGGGTGTTAGATTTCGTCTGAATCAGTGGTTCTGCTGGAAAAATAAAAAAGTTTGAAAGGTCACTGGTTCAGATGGATATAAGGAGAATTTGGAAAAACAACAACAACAATATCCCCCAAAGTTTAGCTTCATTGGGGGTAAGACAACAGAAATGTTTGATGGGATTTGTTTTAGAGGGAAGATTTTGTCCCAACAGATTGATGCTAATACAAAACAGGACCCTCTGAGGGGAAATGCCAGTTTTGTGGAAGAGTGAAGAGGAGAGAAAAGGAGAGTGCAGCTTGTTGAGCTGGAGGTTTTTTTGTTTTTGTTTTGTTTTGTCTTGTCTTGCTGGCGGGAGAAGGAGAGTTCAAGGGGGAAATCAGAAATAGGAAGAATAGCTCTAGGAAGTGGGGTGAGGGTTAGGAAACAACTCAGGGACAAAGTTAGGCCCAGGGGCCCGGAGAACCTTGGAAAGGTGGGAGCTACAAATTCCGTGGTGCGGACCTTCATAGAGTGGGAGAAAAAATGGGTGTGGAGCTGAGTGTAGGAGGCCTGGAGAGGGGAGTTAAAGAGAAAACTCAGCTGAAGGAATTCTGGATAGGCAAACCCAGCCCAAAGATTAGCTAGCCCGAGGATCGCCAAAAACAGCGGACCTGGGTGTCTGGGTCCCCGGGTTCTGCTGCGCCGCTCTCACTGCCCCGGGGCTTGGCAAGACCGACCTTCCCAAGTGGCCCTGACGAGAGGGGCGTATTAGAGAGAGAAAAAACCCGCAGCGATAGGACGGGGTGGGAATGAGTAAAACCCGTGACACAATTAGAGTCTGGAGTTGTCAGGCAGGAAAAAGTATCCTGCAAAAGTTAGGTATCGATGGGCGGAGGTCCTGACCACCTCACTGGGCCTTCTGCTCCCCTCCGGGCTTAGGCACCAAATCAGACCGCCCTCCCCGTCCTGGGGCCTCTCGGGACCCCGCTCGGGCGCAGATCGCTGCGTTCTGCTCTCAGAGATGGGTTCCTGGGATGAGGATGGTTTCGCAGGCGGCACCGAGGCAGGGGGATAGCCTCTGGAACTGACTCAGAGAGAACACAGGACTCCACCCGCGCCACGGCCCCTGAAGGCCCAAGCAGGCCCGCTCCGAGTTTCCTCCGCGGCTTCCTCTGGGTCCCCCGGTCCCCGCCAGAGCCCGGGACCGAATACTGGTGTCACCGTCCCACAGACCTAGACCCCTCCCCTCTGCAACACGCGCGGCCTCTACCTTCGGGCCCCTCGAGCAGCACATGCCCTGAGGCCAGCACGGTCCGGGCCTCGTCCACCGGGGCGCAGACCCGGCCGCGTCCTCTGCCCTCCCGGCGGCCC